ATTAGAAGGTCTCAAGGCAATCAGGACGAAAGATGGTCGCATTCAGCTGTTTCGCCCGGAAGAGAATGCTCTAAGAATGAAGACGGGTGCAGAGAGATTGTGCATGCCATGTCCATCTACTGAGCAATTTCTTGCTGCTTTAAAACAAGCAGTCCTTGCCAACAAGCGTTGGGTATTTTCACTTTAGACCCTACAGTTCTAAAGTTTACAGACGTTAAAACTGACGTTTTAATTTTCGTATGTATGTATGTATGTATGTATAGGTACCACCTTCAGGGAAAGGAGTATTGTATATTAGGCCATTGCTCATTGGAAGTGGTTCTGTTCTTGGCTTGGGGTCAGCAACAGAGTACACATTCCTAATATTTGCTACTCCAATTGGTAGTTATCACAAGGTAACTTATTTGCCAATGCAATTCGTGTTAATCACCAATTAGTTTTAGATTGGAGACTTTAACTTCGATATAGTTTCAAAGTCAAGAATTAAGTCACGTATTGCTAATTGATTGGGATTCGATCGCGAAGAAAAATACTTGGTTCTGTGGTAATTTCGTTCACATAAATTATGTTTTTCTTAAATTAAATTTTAGATTTTTCCTGGTTACTCTCTATTTTTCAGACCTTTTTTTTTTCTTGGGAACTTTATTTTTCAAACTTTGATTTTGTTTATACAACAGAGTGGCAGCACCATGAATTTGTACATTGAGAATGAGGTTCGTAGGGCCACTCCTGGTGGAACTGGAGGCATCAAAAGCATCACCAACTATTCACCAGTAATTACTTGGCTAACTTATATATATAATTAGGTTGAAGATATTAGGATCTTCTAAATAATTTTTATTTTTTGCTCCATTTCAATGCTACAGATTTTTAAAACAGTACAGAAGGCTAGGGCCGAAGGGTTCACTGACGTCCTCTTTCTGGATGCAGCCACTGGAAAAAATATTGAGGAGTGTTCTTCATCTAATATTTTCATTGTGAAGGTATTAGTAATTACAATTTGCATATATGGTTTCAATATTACAATTCACCAACATTCTGAGCATGTTACGTGACCGGATTGTTAAACCCTAAACCCTAATTTCTCCGTAACATGTTACATAACTGAATTGTTAAGCTACACAATCAAATAAGAATTATTTTAATCGACAACAAACAAAACGTGCATTATTGAGCTTGAAGTGTTGTTCTAAAAATTAAAAAACAAAAATAACAATGTTATCGAAGGCTTCCATGTGAAATGTCCATTCAAGTTTGGCCTAACAATTATTTTACTGGTGTAGGATAATGTGATTTTAACTCCACCAACCAATGGAACTGTCCTTCCAGGGATCACAAGGAAAAGCATCATAGAAATTGCTCTCCATCTCAATTACGTGGTAATTAACGGCCCCTTTTTACCTTAATTAAGCATTAACTACTGCTTGTACAGCTTGTTAATTATATTTCACAAGTCTAAAATGTAAATTTGACTCATGAGAAGTGCTTTTCTAGCTAATTGCAACCTCTAAAACCATGTTTTGGGAAATGGATATCAGGTGGAGGAACGTGATGTTTCACTAGAGGATGTGTTGGCTGCTGATGAAGTTTTCTGTACTGGGACTGCTGTGGATGTCATTGCCGTTTCTAGCATAACATACCGTGACAAAAGGTACAAGTGTTTGAGGAAAATTCTTAAGGAAAAGCACTTTTGGTACTTCTATGCCTTGAATTTTTAATTTAAAATTTTTTATGTGCTTTTTAAACCAAATGCACTTCATACAAAAGCAGTTTAGAACAGACCCTCAAAATCGTGGCATTTTTTTTTTATAAATATCGTAACCCTGGAATTTAGTAGCTAATAATGGATTATGTTAATGCAGGGTTGAATACAGAAGAGGGAAAGAAACTGTGTTTTGCAAACTGCGTGAAATTCTTACTGAGATTCAAACAGGTTTGATTGAGGACAAAATGGGGTGGACATTGCTGATTGATTGAGCTGCTGCTTGATCCCCGTTTCATTTCCAATGAAGCATGTGCGTTCATAATATGAACTTCGTATGGATACCAAATAAATTGAGATGTTTTTCATATTGTTCTTCATTGCAAAACCTGAAACCAGGTTCTTGGATTTTTTTTTTGTTGAATTTGTGGGACAATATATGCAATCGTATGTTTAAATTGAAAATATACTTATCTTAGTTTTTTTTTTGTTTTGTTTTATAAATATTGCTTCTCTACCCTTTACTATATGAACATTTCTTAAACACTACTCGTAGTACTAAGTGTCTATATGAACATATTATTAAACACTACCCGTCATGAGCAAAGCCATAAAAGTTTTTTTTCTTCATATAGTGTAAACTTGTGACTAAGATATTAATGTAATTGGATGTTTTATAAGTTTTAATATAATTTTTCTCCCGTCTGTGATTTATTGTGGGTAATTAAAGAGTGTAGCCGCTAATTATCATTCTAACATTTTCATTTTTCAACATGGTTATGGCCATACACTTTTTTTTTCTTTTCTCAAATGATAATATACACTATTAGTTTGTTGTATTTAAACACAGAAATAAACCAAAAAATAAATCAAAGAGATAAGAAGCTTTTGTGGGTTCCACAAAGAACATATCGGATATAACCATCTAGAGGGTTACAAGTACCCACACATGGGCTTGATTAATGAAAATTAAGAAGAAATTAAAGCAAGAGATTTGAGGAAAATAAGCTTATCTAAATTACTTATTAACATCAATAAATTTATGAACATTAATTCAATTTCTCATAAACCCAATTTTACTTTTTTTTTTATTCAAGCCTTTCAAATACCATCATAAAATCTCCAATTTAAAAAAAATAAAATAAAAAAAAACCTCACTTTTTTACTCTCTCTTTCTCTGTCTCACATTTGTCTCCAACTTCTCTCTTTTTCATATATTTTTTCTTTTAAAAATTTTTATATTTACACACACATAGTATATGGGCTTCATCTAGTAGTATTTATTGATGTTTAATTAGCATCTATATATATGGTTGTTTCTAAGGTGCAGACCTTGCGTGTAGAGAAAGGGAGACTGAGAGATTATTCGCACATTCAAGAGGGAAAGAAGGGCAAAGAGAGGGAGTTGGTGTGAGGAATCGATTTCAGGTGGATTGAAGCTCCGTTTCGATTGTGACCCGGTAATCCTATACCTTTAAATTTTATTTTATTTTTTGTTCCCTGGGTGTGTTTTTGTTGGAGAGAGAGGGAAAGATTATGGTTTTCTTCGCAAGGAAAAGAGGCAAAGAGAGGGAGCTGGTGAAAGGTGGGAGTGTTCGATTTCAGGTGGATTGAAGATGAGTCTCGATTGTGACCCTGTAAATCCTATACCTTTATTTTTATTTTTATTTTTTTTGGTTCACTGGTGTGTTTTTGTTGAAGATAGGGGGATAGCTGATGGTTATATTCGCAAGGAAAAAGAGGCAGAGAAAAGGAGTTGGTGAAGGGTGCTCGATTTCATATGGATTGAAACTCTGCTTAGATTGGAGTTGACAAGGGTGGTGCGTCCAGAACCTCTGAAGAAACTCAGATTGTGAAGTTTAGTTTTCTGTCGTCATTTGATCCATTTCCGTTCCATTGTGGTTCTAAAAACCAACTTCGGGTATGTGTATATGATATTTATAATTTTGGGATTTGAATCCATAATACTGGTGGTTACCACTAGACTTGATTGAGATCCCGAAATTGGATTAGATATATAGGTGTAAAACTTGTGCTAGGTTGTGATAAGTTGTGTTGTAGTTGTGTACATTTGTAGTAGGTAGATATTGAACTGTAATTCGATAGGGAGTGAGTTAGAAATAGAAGAAGAAAGGATGTAGATGTAGGAGATCAATTTGGTGCAGGGAAGGTTGAATTTGTGGTACCAACGGTAGACAATGAGTCGAAACGCAAATTGAAAATGGAGTTTGGTTCGTTGGATGAAGGGTATACTCTTTACAAAACTTTGATCTTCATTGGTTTTTCGAATTCTCAGTCTGAATATTCACTATTTGTGAAATTTGATCCTTCTCTTCTGATTTTGTTGGTCTATGTTGATGCTATTTAGGTAACTGGTCATAGTCCTACAGTTTGTAAGGCATTTTTCAAAGGGCTTAGTCAGTTAATTTCAGTTAAAGACTTCGGTGCATTACACTACTTCTTGGGTTTAGAGGTTCACAGTTTTTCAGGTCCTTTTCTTTCTCAAGTAAATGTGCACTGGACCTATTCATCAAAACACATATGGAAGAGTGTAAACCTTGTGCTACACCTCTTGGTACTCACAAGTTAGATCACATTGGTACTCTGTTACCTATCCTCATGAATACATATCAATGGTGGGGCATTGCAATATTTGACATGAACAAGAACTGATCTCTCATATGCAGTGAATCATGTTTGTCAGTTTCTTCATCGTCCTGGAGGTACTCACTTTCAAGCTGTCAAAAGAATACTGAGGTTTTTAAAAGGCTCTATTGATCATGGTTTGTGGTTCAAGAAAAACTCTTTGGATCTCACCGCCTTCTCTAATGCAGATTGGGTAGGCTGTGTATTTGACAGAAGATGTACAAGTGATTACTGTGTTTATCTGGGTAGTAATCTCATTAGTTGGAGTGAAAAGAAGTAGCAAACAGTTGCTCGTTCCTCAACGAAAGCTGAATATAGATATCGGGCTCATACTATAGCAGAACTACCTGAGTTTGCAAAATATTTAAGGACATTGGTTTTCCTCTGTCTAAAGTTCCAGTTTTGTGGTGTGACAATGTATCTGCCATTTCTCTGGCTTCCAATCCAGTTTTCCATGCTAGTAACAAACAAGCGGAAATAGATTATCATTAAATCAAAGAGCTGGTTCTTGCTCATACCCTCCGTTCAGCTTGACCGGGTGTAAAGACACAGCTCATATTCGCAGTACAGTCAGCAGTGTCATAGTCTAGTCATTGTCCTTATCCTTACCTATTGCAACAGTTATGTAACTAATTGTAGTGTTAGTGTGAGGTGTTAGTGTGATTAGTTAGGCTTGATTAGTTGCTAATCATTATTGGTAAATGTATATAACTCCAGTGTCAATCTTATTCATTCGAAGGGTAACATTGGTAATTTTACATGCTTTGCTGCTAGCTAGGTAGCTTATTCAGTCAAATTCTTTTATTATTGTGAAGAAATGTTATCCTGTCAAACAGAGAATATCGACCATTATTTAAGTAGATTCTTGCCAAGACGTCTCATTCAGATTCATTCTGCGACAACATAATATGATTATGTTATTATGCTATTGAACTTTTGGTGATATAAATATGCAAATTGCGGGTTTTGTCAGGGTATATATGAAGGTCTTAAGGCGGCATGCAGGACATAAGATGATCGATTTCTGCTCCTTAGGCCTGGACAGAATGCCTTAAGAATGCAGATGGGAGCAGACAGCATGCAATATTTTCATCTTGAAGGCAAAACCAATTAGCATTACTGCGCTTTTGGTCCACTCAATTCGAAAGCGTAAAACTAGAGCATGCATGCTTTCCTTCAGTTCGAGGAACGTGTAATTCCGGTTAAGGATTTGCCTCCTCTGGATGCAGCATTATGTGGATTTCAAAAAGGCAGCATTGAGAACAAGATGGGATGGGATTGTGCTCCGAAGTTCACTACATTTCAGATGGAAAAACTGAAAAATCTCAAACATGAAAATAATTCATTAATTTCCACTTCTAATAACATTTAGCTGCTTTATAAATAAGTCATTCCAAGTATCTGTTAACCTGGCATGCACCAGTGCATGCAGTCGTCGTGCTTCTTCCCACTGGCTGTGGATGGATGGCCATCTGCTCTGAACTCGCTCATGTGGGTTATGTTCAAAATCTGGAAACTTGATCCTTTAAGGGACTTGTAGAGATGTTGATTCACCAGGCGTGCCTCCACGTTTGTACCATTATTCTTCACTGAGAAGAGATCTTCGACCTGCAAAGCAAACCGTAACATTATATTATCTCATATTTGTACCCAGTGCACAAGGCTCCCGCTTTACGCAGGGTCTGGGAGAGGTGAATGTCGGCTAGCCTTACCCCCATTTATGGAGAGGCTGCTCTTAAGTCTCGAACCCGTAACATTATACAAGAGCTTAATTGAAACAACACAAAGTAGAAGGGGTTTGTGCTTGGGTACAAATCATTGCTTCATAAGATGTAAGTGTAGCTCAATTAACTAAACATAACATTCATTTTGCTCAAAAGTAAATTGGGTCATTATAGAATCACACAACTCACCTGCTCTACCGATAAAGGATTTACCCGATTACAAGAGCCACCTTGGTCCCAGTCACCCCCTTCAAAATGTCTAGGTGACTGAGTACGAAAAAATTTGATTGCACCTGCTTTCGTTCTCTTCTCCATGAACATTACCTACAATGAACGAATCCACTAAAAACATGAACACCAGAATACTACCTCTTAATTTCTTATGAAACATAAAATTAAACAAATTATGAAGCTTTTATCTTAAAAAATTGGTACCATGTGCCTCAAAACCATATCAAGGCCGACATCAGGGAGTACTGGAGGAACCACCGGACGACCCTTTTCAAAGAAAAGCATGGGTGACTTTGTTGGGTCAAACTTTGAAGGAGCCCACCACCTGTTTATTCATAAGAACCGAAAAAACGAAATGAATAATCAGCAAACTTAATGACACGTGAAATTTCCAACTCGTCACATTTAGAAGTTTACTAATTCTGGTATTTATCTTAGAAACGTTCTCCTACCTTCTACATACTGATTTAAGCCTATCTATATGGCTGCTTTATAGCTCTCTTGAAAAGATATTGGTTGGTTTGTATTCCTATTGTACTTGGTATTTACTTGGAGGGTCAATTAGATCTTAGAAACTATAGTTCCTGATCATCTCTTGGGAAAATCAACAAGCTCTGCGGCAGATTTCAAATTGCTTGATTCCTACATCAAAATTCTTCTCACTCACCACTTATATGAGTAAACTGCATCATGATTATCGACACTAGGCTACTAGTCTTGGGATCAATAAAAATGATACACACAACTTATTGTATTTTTTTATAAACAGAATTTATTTGGTCACATCACGAAATTAAAAGAAGACTAATACTAAACCAAGTAACAAATGTATCTGCTACACGTACAAGAATCTTGAGCAAGCATAACAAATAAGAATGAAAATACATACGAGTGCCCTGTATTAAAGATCAGAATGTCATGAAAGCTTAGAGCTTCTGCCCATGTGCCGTCTGGAATGTCAACATCAACTCTATAACCCTCCTTGTATCCAAGATATTCCAGCACCCCACCACTAGCATCGGCTGACCACCTGCATCGAATAAAAGCATAAAAAGTCTAAGTGTACAAACATACAGACGAACATCAAAGCTTAACATGTGCAAGATGTAATTCAGTTCCCCATCAATTTATCTAACAAAACTAGTGCATAACCATCATATAGTTGCAAGCATAGCTTACCTACCATAACGCGCCAAAAGATTTGTTCGATGATATGCAAGGGTGAGATTAGACTGAAATGCTTGAAGTGCTTCCGAAAAAATGTACTTAGAAATACTTCTTTGTTGTAAACATTCCTAGTTTAAGTATGATTGTGTAAATCCTAGATAAGATTTAATTCTAGTTATCCTTTCCTATTACAACTTGTATTACTTGGAGGAGAAGGAATATCTTCTCTCCCTTTACTACTATAAATAAAGGCACAATGTAGGAGGGATAACAACACACACATTCCCCTACAATTCTACAAACACACATCTCTCTCCTCTCTCTCTCTGCCGCCGGCCCTAGTCTCTCTGTCAGATAAAATAGACCACAACACGTTATCAGCACGCTTCTACCGCTGCGCTTAGGAATCTGACGTTGGAGATTTTTTTTCTGCATCAAACCAGGTTCTTTCCAAACAACGGCTTTTAACTCGATATTTTGCAAGCCCTAATAGCATGAACATTCACCATGATGCATGACCCAACTTTACGTTTTACGTTTTACGTTTTACGTTTTACGTATTTTAGATGCATGACCCAACTTTACGTTTTACGTATTTTAGATTCTTCATAACCAAAATTGCTACAATTATGTGAATTTGATATTTGCCATGAATTGAATCTTACATATGTACATGCATTGAAACTATTATTTGCATATGCATCAACGTAAATATGTGATTCATTAAAATTATACATGCATATAATATAATTGAATTGAAAAGAAAAAAAAAAAAAAAAAAAAAAAAAAAAAAAAAAAAAAAAAAAAGAGAAAAAAAAATTTTAGGGCTGCACACAGCAACCCATTCCCTTCTCACCCCGTGGGCCTGCAGCCTACACCCGGGGGTACTCGACCTATATTTTTAGGCCCCGAGATGTTATTATTTAATATTTTTTTAAATAATATGGGTTTTTATATTTTCACCCACACTTTAATTTGGCCCCGAAGACCAAAAATAAATTAATTCACTTATCATTATACAATATTTCTGCATATATTCTTTGCATATTTGTTTGCATATATATTTGTGTTTGCCTGCAGGAATATATGAACCTGAAGTTCATAATTACTTTGAAACCCGAAGTTTCTTCTAAACATGCCTTGTTTGAAAACCCGAAGTTTTCACTTAAATATATCACCCATGAAAACCCGAAGTTTTTCATGCAAAATTAAACCAATACATGTCTATTAGAACCTGTATGTTCTACTCCTATGTGAATGGATTGATTTTTCTCCATTACACTAACCACATCTTGTCCATCCATTTTGTGATAGGAACATGTCGAATTTGAACAAACTCGACTTCACCGCTTTGGAGGTCTCTGGAAGGAACTACCTCAAGTGGGTTCAAGATGTGAAGCTCCACCTCACTGCAAAGAACTTGCGTCCTGCTATTGAAGAAGCAACGGATGCACCTGTTGGCGAAGCTGAAAAAGCCACTGCTATGATCTTCATCCGAAGACATATCCATGACGCTCTGCAAACTGAGTACCTTGCTGAGGAGGATCCACGTGCATTATGAGTCGCTTTGGCTGATCGTTTCGATCACCAAAAGGACATATTCTTGCTTGAAGCAAGACACGACTGGCAGCACTTACGCTTCCAATACTTTAAGTCTGTGAATGAATATAATTCTGAAGTTTGTCGAATCCGATCACTTCTCAAGTTTTGCAATGAAACTTTGACTGAAAAGGATCTCCTGGAGAAGACCTACTCGACCTTCTCTGCTTCTAATATTGTCCTGCAGCAACAATATAGAGCTCAGAAGTTCACTAAGTTCTCGGATTTGATCTCTGTTTTACTTCTTGCTGAAAAGCAGAACCAGCTGTTGATGAAGAATCATCAAGCTCGACCTACTGGGGCTACTGATGTGCCTGAAGCACATTATAGCACTAATCAGCACCCAAAACGCCAAAAGAGGCATGGTAAGGGCGGCCAGAAGCCATCCCACCAAGGTCAACAGAGCCAAGGCCCATCCAAGGGAGGAAACATAGCCCAGAAGCGCCCAAACCTCGCTCCCACGGCCCCGAACTTCAAGAATAAGGGCAAAGCACCTGCCACAATGAATGACGATATGTGCTATCGTTGTGGTTCAAAGGACCATTGGTCCCGTATTTGCCGTGCTCCCAAGAAGGTTGTAGATGAATATCATTCTCGTCGTAAGAAATTTGAATCAAACTTCATGCAAGTGGACGAACCGGAGACTACAAAGATGGAGGTTTCTGACTTTCAGGAGGATACCACTCCTAGGGAAGATTAGAATCTTAGACATAGACTTATTTTTCAGTTAAAATAAGACAATTGGGGCCGAATTCCACCTAGTGGCCGAACCCCACTTTGTTTTTTTGGTTGATTTTGAACAATTTTCCTTTATGTTTTGGATTATTAGTTGGCGATTTATTTTGGATATTAAGTTTTTAATCCTTGAATAAATGAAATTATTTTGAATTGATACTTGTTTTTATAAACTTTTATGCATGTGACCGATTCAAATTAATTTTTCATTCTAGGTATGACTAGTGGGAAAGTTAGTTGTCTGGCAGATAGTGCAACCACGCATACTGTTTTGCGTGAACGCATCTATTTCACTAACTTCGTACCTAAGAATGCACCTCTGACAACCCTCTCAGGCCCATCCAACCTGATAGAAGGATACGGTAAGGCACGTATAATGTTGTCCAATGGTACAATCTTGACCATTGCTAAGGCACTCTATTCTCCACGTTCCGGAAGAACGTTACTAAGTTTCAAGGACATTAGAGATAACAATTACCACGCTGAAACCCATGTAGAAAACGGAGTTGAATTTCTGTGCGTAACTTCCTACGAATATGGCCAGAAGCGTATTCTAGAGAAGATGGAGCGTAACCCGAGTGGTCTGTATACTACGACCATACGCCCCATAGAATGCCATTATGTGGCCGGCCCTACCACAGGGACCGTGCACGAAATTACACTTTGGCATGATCGTTTGGGACATCCTGGACGAATAGCGATGCGCCGTATCCTCAAACCTTCACACGGGCATCCACTAACCCGAAGCTTAGGTTCGATCCATGAAATCACATGTCAAACATGTTCTATGGGAAAGCTTATTACTAAGCCTTCTTATGACAAGATTCGTTCGAATCCTCCCATTTTTTCTACAACGGATTCAGGGGGACATTTGTGGACCGATTCAACCTCCATGCGGACCATTTAGATATTTTATGGTTTTGGTTGACGCTTCTACACGTTGGTCACACGTGTGCTTGTTGTCCACAAGGAACGCTGCATTCTCCAAACTGTTGGCTCAGGTTATCAAGATCAGGGCTCACCACCCTGATTATCCGATTAAATCTATTCGATTGGATAATGATGGAGAATTCACATCTAAAACTTTTGATGACTATTGCATGTCAGTTGGGGTTGAAGTTGAACATCATGTACCCCATGTTCACACCCAGAACGGCCTGGCAGAGGCTTTCATTAAGCGTTTACAAATGATTGCTCGATCGTTGGTCATACGTACCAAGCTCCCGATCGCTGCTTGGGGCCATGCAATATTGCACGCAGCAAAGTTGGTCCGCCTGAGGCCTGTTGCGACACAACCATTTAGTGCCCTTCAGTTGGTCACCGGATGCGAACCCGACATATCGCATCTGCGCGTTTTTGGTTGTGCGGTCTATGTGCCGATCTCGCCGCCCTTACGTATAAAAATGGGGCCTCAGCGAAGGATGGGAATCTATGTCGGATATGATTCTCCTTCGATTATTCGTTACTTAGAACCTTTGACAGGCGATCTGTTTACCGCTCGTTTCGCGGATTGTCACTTCTATGAGACAGTCTTCCCGTCATTAGGGGGAGATAAGAACGTCAACGTTCCTAATGAACGACGCGAATTATCGTGGACGACTCCCACTTTGTCTCATTTAGATCCCCGCACCGCTCAGTCTGAAGCTGAAGTGCAGCGTATATTAGATCTCCAGAGCATAGCTCAGAGCATGCCAGATGCTTTCACCGATCTAGCGCGCGTGACAAGATCACATATTCCAGCTGCGAATACGCCTGCAAAAGATAGATGTACCAAAATGTACGACGGACTACCCTCCTGGAAGCCCGGGACGCCAATTCTGGTGATCCACGTACATTAGCGGCTAGCCAATCATCTGCCCCTACACAAAAGCGTGGCAGACCCCTTGGTTCAAAGGATTCACACCCCCGGAAGAGGAAAACCACTGCACAAGGTCCTGAAGAGCCTACCGTGAATCCGACTATCGCTTACTCATTTTACCCAACTCATGAGGAAATTCTAGATTATGGAAGCGTCCTTGAAGAGACGAATCCTCCTCCCCCGAGAATCGTGAGATTTCGGTCTATTATGCTAGCTTAGATGATGTGTGGCGTAGAAATGAGATGATTGTCGACGATGCATTAGCATTTGCAGTAGCTACTGAGATCATGTTGAGCGATGACATTGAACCGCGTTCCGTTGATGAATGTCAACGTAGAGCTGATTGGTCAAACTGGAAACAAGCAATCCAAGTCGAACTTGATTCACTTGCGAAACGTAAGGTGTTTGGACCTGTAGTTCCTACTCCTCCACATGTGAAGCCCGTTGGCTACAAGTGGGTTTTCGTTCGGAAGCGTAATGAGAAGAACGAAATTGTGCATTACAAAGCTCGTCTTGTAGCACAAGGTTTCTCACAACGCCCCGGGATTGACTATGACGAAACTTACTCACCCGTTATGGATGTGATTACTTTTCGATACCTTATCAGTTTGGTAGTTTCCGAAAAACTGGATATGCAGCTGATGGACATAGTAACCGCGTATCTCTATGGGGATCTTGATACGGAAATTTATATGAAAGTTCCCGAATGACTTACATTGACTGGTTCAAATATTTCCAAATCCCGGAACACGCTCTCAATTCGGCTGAGGCGTTCACTATACGATTTGAAACAATCCGGAAGAATGTGGTATAACCTTTTGAGTGAGTATTTGACTAGTCAGGGATATGTGAATAACGAACTATGCCCTTGTGTGTTCATTAAGAAGTCACATTCCGGATTTGCGATTGTTGCAGTATATGTCGATGACATGAATCTCATTGGAATTCCTGAAGAGCTCGCAAGAACTGCTTCGCACCTGAAGTCAGAATTTGAGATGAAAGATCTAGGTAAGACTCGATACTGTCTCGGTCTCGAGATAGAGCATTGTTCGGATGGAATCTTAGTACATCAATCGAACTACACCCAGAAGGTGTTGCGCCGTTTTAATGAGGATAAAGCGAAGTCTTCGAGTACTCCTATGGTCGTTCGTACGCTAGATGCAAAGCGAGATCCCTTCCGTCCGATGGAGGATGATGAAGAGATTTTGGAGCCTGAAGTTCCTTATCTAAGTGCGATAGGCGCTTTATTGTACTTAGCTCAATGCACTAGACCCGACATCTCCTTCGCTGTTAATCTTTTGGCAAGATACAGCAATACACCAACACGCAGACATTGGACTGGCATGAAAGACATCTTCCGTTACCTTAAGGGTACTACGGATTTGGGCTTATTCTATCCCTACGAATCCTCGAGTGATGCCGCACCCTATGCTCATCGGGTTGATTCTCGCCTTGTTGGTTATGCCGACGCTGGATACTTATCTGATTCGCACAAGGCGCGTTCTTAAACGGGTTATGTCTTTACCGTTGGAGGCACCGCAATATCTTGGAGGTCAACTAAACAAACCTTAGTTGCCACTTCGTCTAACCATGCTGAAATTCTCGCCTTACATGAAGCAACTCGGGAATGCTTTTGGTTGAGAGCAGTAGTGGGCCATATTCGAAGCTCATGTGATCTTCATCCCGCCGTTAATGCCCCGACGACGATTTTTGAAGACAACGCAGCTTGCATCGAACAGCTCAAAAAGGGTTACATCCAAGGAGACAGCACCAAGCATATTGCGCCGAAGTTCTTCTTTACACATCAACAACAAGAGCATCAGAAGATTGAAGTCACGCAAATCCGATCACAAGACAATCTGGCCGACCTCTTCACCAAATCACTACCGAAGGCGACGTTTTAGAAGCTTGTTCATGGAATTGGTATGCATAAACTTTCTGAGTTGTAACTTTGCTATTTCTCTTTGGAATTATGTCAAACTCAGGGGGAGTATCTTCTGGATACTTGCTTGATCTTAATGTACTCTTTTTCCTTACGATTAGGAGCATTTTTCCCACTGGGTTTTTGCTACCTAACTAGGTTTTAACGAGGCACCCACCTTGGGCTGGTCATATCCCTGATGACGTCCTGTAGACGTTTCTTTTGACTTTGCATTTCTCACGCATTTTTCCTTAGACTATGGATTTTGTCCCTACTCGGGTTTTTACCATAGCCTTAGGGTTTTTTAGTGAGACTTACTACTTATGCAAGTTCCTACCTTATTGAGAATAAGCGTTGTTCCTTGGAATCAATGCCGACGAGTCGACTTCCTCAACTTCTGCATGATGCTGAATCTACCTTGAGTATTTACACACTCAAGGGGGAGTGTTGTAAACATTCCTAGTTTAAGTATGATTGTGTAAATCCTAGATAAGATTTAATTCTAGTTATCATTTCCTATTACAACTTGTATTACTTTGAGGAGAAGGAATATCTTCTCTCCCTTTACTACTATAAATAAAGGCACAATGTAGGAGGGATAACAACACACACATTCCCCTACAATTCTACAAACACACATCTCTCTCCTCTCTCTCTGCCGCTGGCCCTAGTCTCTCTGTCAGATAAAATAGACCACAACATTCTTGATATATTGTCGCAAGCAATTTTGGACATATGAAGGCATTATAAACCTTTCTGAAACCGTTCTTATTAGTCCCTGTAAAAAAAACATGTGAAACAAGCCTTTATTGACGATTTTACATTACATTTTCTAGTGCCAAAAATAGAGTAAACCTAAAACTAATTGTGAGTTTTTTGAACTTATGTGACAATTTTGAGTTTCAAACGGTTGTAGGGAAAACCTAAAAATAATTAAGAGCTTTTATGAACTTAAGTGACAATTTTGAGTTTCAAAAGGTAAAGTACAACTTCAGTTTTATTTTGGACAGTGAATGAATAACCAAGCTTCCGTACACTAGTAAGCTTTACTCACCGAATGATGTGGTAGTTTCTCAAAACGAAATCATTTACACACCCTTTCTCAACCCTTGCATGCTCCTCTTAGTTTCCGTCCCGTAATTATCCTTTGATCTATTCAATCCAAAAGCTCTTAATTATCTTTTGATTTATCCAATCCAAAAGCCAAAAGTGATGAGGGGCAGGGGCGGAGCCACAGTGGGGTCAATGGGGTCGCACGACCCCTTGAAAGCCATGGAAATAACCTTAGAGGTCCCTTGGAGCTGCTGGTGTGACCCCTTGGAGCTGCACACCACGTGTTCGATGAAATGTCTGAAAGAAGAAAAAGACTTCGGTTGCAGGTTGAAGAAGAAGGAAGGGCGCTCGCGCGAAAAGAAAAAGACTTCGGTTGCAGGTTCTGTGTAGAGTTTCGTTGTGTGCACCTTGTTAGTTTCATTACGAAGCTTTTACTCCTTTTTTTCATGTCCATCTGAGCCTTTTGTTCTTCTAAGTTGAGGGTTTTAATCAAAGTGTAAATCTTCATCAGATTTGATCTTAATTTTCTTTTTATTTTACCATTGTGGAGCTTTTAAGTAGAGGTATGAGAAATTAGGAGGTTGGGTTTACAGGATTGGAAGGTTCATCAACATGGTTTACTGCAGGTGGGAAAGACGACAAAGAAAGGAAGACGACCTGCGTTTTTTTTTTTTTTTTATCTTCCTTCATTTTTTTTTTGTTGGTGCACACATTATTCTTTTTTTTTTTAATTCTTTTTCAGTATTCTCCTTTTTTTTCATTTTAACACCAATTATTTTGTTAAAAATTATTAAAAAAATTTATTATTGTTTCATGCACAGATTAATCCGACACTGCACCAAACGCCCGACTAATTTAGTCAGTACTATCCGACTGGTTTAGTCAGTACAGTCCGAAGTAACAAACGAGGCTAAAAAAAAATTTCGCGCTACGCGCGTTATCCTTATTGACCCCCCAAACATTATTTCCTAGATCCGCCACTGATGAGGGGTGTGTCAAGAAATAATGTCGGAGACTAAATACCATGCCCCTTTAAAAATTTAATGGAGTCTGGATGTGGTAAATCTGGCGATCAGTTGTTTTGGAAAATCATTGGATCATCATTTCCTTTTAACCATAAGAGACAAGATGCCATCCATTCATGAGATATTATAGTGATCACTAAGAAATTATTTTGTGTTTTATAAAGCCAACAAGCGGGGAGGGAGGAGTATATCGTATGCAACCTTACCCTCACTTTGCAAAGAAGTTGTTTCCATGACTCGAACCTGTGATCTTTCAGTCACAAAATAACAACCTTTGTGTTTTATAAATATAATAAACAATAATAGATGTAGAAAGTACTAACAAATCTATTACTGCAACAACAACGAGGAGCAAGAATGTTGAGGAAAAACAAATACATCATGTTAAAGAATACATAGCGAGGATGAAAGCCAACTCATGAGAACTCACTTCCCCTACACAGATCGATCAGAAGGTCATGCATCAAACCCGTGCGCACAATTTGGCTCTGTATTCCCATTAAATATAAACTTACCCTTCGGGTGCTGAAAACGTTTTGTACTCGGTGTTTTCACCAAGAGGCTGATAGAGTAAAGATGCAATTTTGTGATTTTAGTGGTATGACTTGAGGTGGAAAACTTGGCAGGTAGGTGTGTAAGATTTCTTTAGTGCAGCCTGTTCAAACTTCTTTGAGGCCACTTCGTTCTCTTCTAGGCTTGTTTGAACAAAGTACCTTATCCACCAAGATGAGCTTCGCAATTTCGCCTTCAAAAGAAAATCATTGCGTCATTCTTCCAGATTTAACTTTTGCAAAGTTAATAGGAAGTTAAACTTGCCACACCCGTACAATCAAAGCAAGAAAATGAAATTGAGAAGCAAAAATAGTATTGCACCAGCAATTGTCATCGATGTGTTATTAAACATTAATAACTTACTGGACGGCCAAATTTGGATAGCTCTGCAACGTTAGCTCTATGCTGACCTGGATAACCTATAAAAGGAAACGACAAGTACATAAAAATTCAAAGAGAACAATAACTGTCATGTATGATTTGCATAATCAATCACGGGCATGACCAACTAAAAGATTGTGTTTAGATTTTGATCAGTAAGGCAGTATGCCTGCACCTCCACCATTTAAGTTGAAGTATTAGCTTCTGCTAACCGATTTTGAATAGAGATGCAGACAAATACCATAAGTAAATCTCATTTGGACTGGGGGAGGGGTGGTGTGTTTACTGAGAAAATTTTACCAGTAAAGATAACAACACCATCAGCAGATACCCGCACCAACTCTGGAAGAGTTCTGTTGAGGTACTTTGGAGACAAGTAATCTAATGCATCCGATGTTATTACGAGAGAAAATGATTTTGCCCGGTATGGCAGTGGAAACTTTATATCAGCCGCCCGCACAATGCCTTTGCTAACAAGACTCTTGCAACTTGCATCAGCATCTTCCAAGTCATATGGTTCCACACCCCATGCTTCAGTATCCTCTTCTTTTAGTAATTTAGATACCACTGAGCAGGTTTCAGGGCCCACGTGCAACACCTTACGCATGCTATCACCATATGCTTTCTTTAGTATAGGTATTACTCTTTGAACTTCAAATGTACATGAAAAACCACCTACATGTACAAATTAGAGATTTTCAAACTCTAAAATAGTTTTTGTACCTGGAAAAACCTACATGCTAAAATACAACACAAAAATACAGAAAAAAAATCTCTCACAGCAAAGAGTTTCTAATTCTTAAAAAAGTAAATTAAAATAAAAGGAAACGGAGACTTTATAATGATATTTACATATTTTGAAACAACTAAGATCAGTTTGTCTGAATTGTTCAACAGAATAATTCTGTACAGCCTTGTTCCTCTAGGACAAAAAACTATTACACCTACTCCTGACGGAATCTATACAACTCTACTGAGAATCCAACAGAATTGGATAGGCTCGCTAAAAAAAACATATATAGATAACTAGTGAGTTCAAGGATGCAATGTAAGAAATTTATGATAGACGATATGGAATTCTAGCATCCCATTTTGATAAGTATGTGTGCTATTGCATTCGATAACCCAAAACTTTTTAAGAGTTATGGACACTAGACAATAGAATAGATTATGAAATATACCTTCAAGTTTAATTACAGCCTCTTTAGTGCTCTGGCCACCTGTAATACAAACCATAATAATTGAGAACAAAATGGAATGTAGAAAGGACAGCGTTGGATGCTGTCAGAGTTGCAGAGCTTGCCTAAACACTTTTCTTGAAAGGTGGATCGAAAAGATATATGCCCCCATCAACGTTTTTTGTTAGAGTTGGGATGATATTTGAATCACACTTCTTCTTCATACCATAATTTTAGGAAATATTGTTTTTGATAAACCTCATTTGCAAGTAGAAGTCAAAACAACTACTAACCTGACCCGCTAAAAGCGTAGAAGACGAGAAGAACTGCACCCTGAAATTTAAAAGTTAATAGTCAGTATTTTCCTAAAGAAACTAGACTTGCTCGTGTAATTGGGTTCAGTGACGGTATTACTACTAGGATTGAATTTATAAGATGTGTGGACACATTTTAGTCATCTGTTTGTGCTCAACTTTGTCAGGACTGTTTGTTTCTGGATATGTTAGGATTACACCATGATCTCAAAAAAAAATAATGATGCACCGGAAGAAAATGGTAATAGAAAGTACCACAAGCACAAGTCCTATGGACAGTAGAGGTGATGAGCGTGCCTTGGATTGCACTGCACCCACAAATGGGATACTTCCACCGTCACCAATGCGTCTGGAAGGATTTACTGGCCTCCTTGACATGACTATAAATTCTGCAAACTAGAAATCCTGCCAGAAGTAGCATAAGTTGAAAAAAAAAAAAAAAAAAAACTTCCATTAGCAGTGTTTCCAAATGCCTTCTGCCGAAATATTTTTCTAACTGTTTTCTACTCACTGATCTCAAGTTATTCACATCATCCCAATTAAACCGGCACAAACATCTATGACAAAGCCGCAGAGAGATCTTTCGGCATCCACATCAAACACAAAATTCGCATTCCAAACATCAATTCAAACCCATACAGATATACTGCACTCTGCCAGCTACTCCAAATTACACACAATATTGCTTCTCACATAAATCTACCCACAAACCATCAACGAATGCAGCAGTATCAATCTAAAAGTTGCGAAATTGAGGAAGATTCCACTGAAACATGCAAGTTTCAGCTCAAAATTCTTGCAAATAAAACCAACCCATATATCCAATCGACTACGAAATTAGCAAGAACTCAAAAAACACATGCATAATAATGCAATCTTCGCCCAAATCAATACATAATTCAAATTTTGATCGATTAAGCAGTAAAGTTAGCTAATTTGCGGATAAAATCAGTCAATTGAATTCACATAAACGGATCTAGAATCCGAAACGGCAAAGCAAAAAGCAATGATGCGAGAAGTAAATGGGGAGAAACCTGAGGAAAATGCAGCGGGAAAAGCTGGATTAGGAGATCTAGGGCGCGATTCAGATCTGAGCTAGTGCTTTCTTACTATCTTTACCTCGCAGAGAGTTTTTGGAATCTATTTAATTTGTAGTTGTAGACTTGTAGGAGGAGGAGCTTCAGAGCAACTCTAACCTTGGAGCGTTTCTTGCAATTCACTGTTGAATCCATCCTATTAAACAGTAACTATCTTTAATAAATAGTGACTACCATTAATGAACAGTAATTACTTTTTGTATCTCTACCCTGGAGCCCTCCCCTGGCAATATGTAATAAAATATTAGTTTTTTTTTTGTTTAAATAATATAAAATAAAATAAAACATTGGAAATGGGGCTGCAGGCCCTCGGGCTTACACAAAAAAAATTAAATAATGCCTGGCCCTCGGGCTGCAGGCTGGTGGATTCCTCACGGGCCCTGTGCTCGGGCTCCCACCCTCACTCGGGCTCTCCATGGCTGGAGCACTGTCCATTGGGCCTCAGGCCCTTTCTTCTCCCCTGTCCCCCGAGCAATCCACATGGGTGGAGTTGCTCTCATACAACTGCAGGTCCTACCCACTGCAAAGTCTACATCTCCATTAAACAAAGAGTAATGCTACAAGATTAAATTTGTATAATAAATTAGCAAATTAAATAAGGTTTCACCACTAGAAAATAATTACGTTTATCAACGGTTAAATAATAATTCAATCATCATTTATATGTTACTTAGTTTAGAAATTTTAATTTACGAATTTAATCTATCTAACACTTAAATAAACGTAGATTTAATAGTCTAAAATAAAAGTAATATAATAAACACCGACCCTATTTTGTGCAAGTGGAGTTGCATCTTATTCTCAATATTCCTTTAATATTTGCTACAACAAAGTGAAATTTGTTTGTGCAAATTGTTGTAAAATAGTGGGTATGTTTGTCTACACATATATAGTAACTCTTTCACAAGTTTAATAGTGTCATTTGTTTGTTTCCTATGAGGTTGCTCTATAAATAGAGCACTACATTTGATCAAATTAGACTTGGAAGAGAAAAACATCTAATAGCAATAATATACATTACTTCCTCAGCAACAACTTGTGTTGGTATAATATTTTGCAACTGCTTCGCTCATGTCCCGAGTAAAGGTTATCTCTCTAAATTTTGATTATTTATAACACGTTATCAACACGACTCTCTAATCATTTCTCATTTCCCTTCATCGAAAGAAAAAAAAATGTTTCCTCTAAGGTTTTTACTGTTCTTCTTCTTCCTCTGCCTCAATTGCTGGATATACCCTCGCGAAGAATTTTTTGCACTATGTTTACTTCTAGTTCTCAACCTAACAGTTACTTATATCTTTGATTTTTTGTTTGGTGTAAATCTTGACTACTAACCTAGTGTTTATTTATGCAATCCAAGATGGTGCGTTATCATCGCCTATCTTGGACTGCAGATCTAATTTTACTGCAAATTTTAAGTAGAGCGGTATAATCGCCCACCCTATCCTGCATATTTAAATTTACCTACTATTTAATTTTATCGCAATTTTAGGTGGTGTGGAATAATCACCCACTCTGCTCTACATATTTAAATTTTATCGCAATTTTAGGTGGTATGGTATAATCGTCCACCCTGCTTTGCATATTTAAATTTTATCGCAATTTTAGGTGGTGCGGTATAATCGTCCACCTTACTCTACATATTTAAATTTTCCTACTGCTTAAAGTAGTGCGGAATAATCGTCCATCCTATACTTGTTTCAATGAGAATGGTGCGGTACAATTGCCCTTCTCATTAATCATGTAAATCTCGAGCTTGAAGTTTCGAGTACTTAACATTTTGGCCTGAAGATCAAAAATTTAAGAACCAGAAGTTCTAACAATATATTCCTTTAAAACACATATTATTGCAAGTTCTTACACACCTCATTTTTTTTTTCAGAAAAGAAAATGGCATACTTGGCAAAGCTTGATTTTGCTGCCCTGGACATTACTGAGAAGAATTACCTTACCTGGGTACTGGATACCAAGATCCATCTAGAAGCAACGAATCTTGGTGATACCATCAGGGAAGAGAGCAGTTCATCCTCTCAAGATCGGGCGAAGGCCATGATGTTTATTCGTCGCCATCTTGATGAGGCACTAAATAGCGAGTACTTAACGGTTGAAGATCCGTTAGCCCTCTGGAAGGCTTTGAGAAACAGATACAATCACCAGACAACGGTGATTCTTCCAAGAGCTCGCTATGACTAGACTCACCTAAGGATCCAGGATTTCAAGTCAATGGCTGAGTACAATTCGACATTGTTCAGAATTACCTCTCAGATGAAGCTCTATGAGGATACTATTACTGATGAGATTTATTGGAAAAGACTTTCAACACATTTCATGCCTCTAACATGCTCCTGCAGCAGCAATATAGAGCACGAGGCTTCACTAAATACAACCACCTGATATCTGTGCTCCTGGTAGCTGAACAGAACAATGAGCTCCTGATGAAAAACCATAATTCCCGACCTACTGGATCAGCACCGTTCCCAGAAGTGAATACTGCTTCCCTTGAAAGGAATACTATATCCTCCCGTGACAATAATTACAAACGAGGACGTGGCCACAAGCAAGGCTAGTGGAACGGGAAAGGCAAGAACCAAGGCATAATCCAGGCCCGAGCTTTAAAAATGCAAATCGCCATAAAGGAAAAGCTCATATGAACACTCCTTGATATCCTAAAGGAGTTTGCCATAGGTGTGGTGGCAACGGACATTGGGCACATACTTGTTGCACCCCAAAGCATCTGGTGGAACTGTATCAAGCCTCCTTCAAGGAGAAGGGTGTCGAGATCAATTTCTTTGACCAGACTCAACCAATGGAAACCCCTGATCCAGTGACCAATTTATCAGGACAGTTAAACACAACCCACCTGGATGCTACATACTTTATTAATGAAAGAGGGAATGAAGTTTATGGGTCCGATTGAAGTATTTATGTTTAATGTACTCTTGTTATTTGTACTTGTGGTTTAATGCTCGCATTTTCAATTCAATAAAAGTAGTATTCCAGTATGAATAAACTGCTTTTTCTTTACTCAGAGAATATGGATAAAAATTATGGTTATTCTCAAAACAAGAGCAATGGCGAAGACTTTTGTCTTACAGACAGCGCAACCACACATTCAATACTTCAAGATCGAAAGTATTTATCGAATTTGGTACTTGCAAAAGTAAAGGTAACAACAATATCAGGGCAATCAGATGTAATTGAAGGCTTAGGAAAAGCCCAGATTATGTTACCAAATGGAACAATATTGTCCATAAAGAATGCATTATATGATACTCGATCCATTCGAAATTTGTTGAGTTTTAAAGACATACGTATAAATGGATACCACATTGAAACGAAAAGTGTAGAAAATGTGAAATATTTATGCATTACCTCCAATGATACCCAGAAGCGTATATTGGAGAAGTTGCATGGTTTATCGAGTGGATTGTATTATACATACATACATAAAGACAGTTGAGGCATATACTGTCATGAACCAAAAGTTCATTGATTCAAAGGTTTACATGTTTTGGCATGACCGTCTAGGTCATCCAAGATCTACCATGATGCGTAGAATCATTACTGTTGATGCACAAAATCAGCGAAGACTTTGGTACAACAGAAAGTGTCAGGTTTTGTGACCTTCGCTTGGTTGCTTCGGTCACTAGTGAGGATAAGTACGTAAATGAATAGAGACAGAGAAGCAAACACAGGATGTACGTGGTTCACCCAGATTGGCTACGTCCACGGAGTAGAGGAGTTCTTATTAGTAGTGAAGGGCTTACACAAGTACAAAGGATCAAGCTTCAATTTAGTGAGTTCTTGTGAATGATTTAACACAAAATGGCATTAGGCAATATTGTGGGGGAATGACCCCTATTTATAGAAAAACTTGTAGCTTTGTCACATTGACATGTGTCATGTTGTGATTGGTTCTTGATGTCGACACGTGCTGCGCTCTGATTGGCTTCTAATCTTGACACGTGTCGAGTAGTGATTGGCCTCCTGGTCGGAGGGGAACTCTTCTGGGTCCTTGACAGTATAGCGTTGGCCGGTGCTCGGTAGTTTCGGGATTGGTCAAGTATGGTACAAACAGTGCTCCCCTAAGTTCCCGAGTGAGGGAAACTCCTCGGTTGGGGACTTGCAAGATCCAATCCCTTGAGTAATCACGAAACTTCTAAGTACCGAAGTGTGGTCTGATCTTCATCTGCCCTTCTCTGGAAGTACCTTTCCTCCATCCGGGAATGGTGTACTTAGCTGATGTTGACGCACAAGGTAATGTATCAATTTCACTTGAAGCTTAGTTGTAGTTTCGGGCTTAGTCAAGTGTGATACAAACCCTATAGTAGGAGTCCCCAAGTCGCCGAGCTAGGAGATCTGCCGAAAGAGGTGACAGACAAGGTAAGCAGTCAAACTTCCAAGTAAGCAACCCAGGATCAGAGGTTTGACTTCGGCTTCCGGTTGATTGTTCTCCTTCTCCTTGTCTCTCATTCAACTGCCAGGATAAGGAGAAGCAAATGGATAAGAGATGATATGAGATACTTTTGCTTTTGAAGAAGTAACTTTCCACAGGCTTATTCTTGAACTGTGTTGGAGGGGTTTCTGGTGCCTTCAGAGTATAAGGCCGACTCAAAAATTTGAGGGTCAAAACAAGTCCATCAAATCTAGAGTACGTTCGACCTTGATGATATGGGATACTTTTGCTGTTGACGGAATAATGAATGTGGTATGGAAAGGTGTCGTGCTGTAGTGATCTGTTTCAGCTCACCGTTGAACCTTCTGCTTCAATCTTTTGCATGGCAGAAGTGGTGTGCAACCTTTGCATTTAAATGGTCCTTCAGAACATTCCTTCATAGTGACTCATCCACGCTTGGCAGCTTCAGTGTAAAGAGCCAATATCTGATCAACTGTCATGAGGTATTTGCCGGTGGAATTCGTGACCTTGACAGCAGTTGAGGATGAGTACTCGAGAGCAATGCTAAGTAAGCAACCAGGCAAAGGCTCCAGGCAGTCAGTTCCAAATTGGAGGTTTGATTTCAGGTTCCGACTGACTGCTCTCTTTCTCCTTGTCCTGCAGGTGTGGACAAGGACAAAGACAAAGACAGGGA